TTTTTGAGATGGGGTCTCCCTGTAGCCCCAGCTGTCCTGGAACTCACTATGTAGACCAGGCTGGCCTTGAACTCACAGAGATTCGCCTGTCTCTGCCTCCTGAGTGCTGGGATTAAAGGTATGTGCCACCACACCCAGCCCCCTGCACATAACTTCTTAATGGGGGTAGGAGAGTGTTTTATGTGTCTGGCAAAAACAGCTATCTAGAAGAAATGTTGTCAGATGTTTTTAAAATAACGGGACATTTCATTTCAGTTCCCACTGTCTGCAACAGCCCCAATGGTATGGCTCCCGTACTCCTCCATTGACCAGCTCCTCCATACCCTAGGAGAAAACACTGCCAACAGTCACAATATTGCAGTAAGTCAATCCTTTATTGAGTTGTCTTCTATGAGCCTCTGCTGACAGGCACAGCCTAGAATGTGGCCATCGGTTCTCTAGGAGTTCAGGGAAGACAAAAGCTATCAGTTGTTTTTAACATATTGCTCCATCCATCCCTTTTTATGTTAAAGGTCTAAGCAACCATGCCCAAAACCTCAAGGAAGAATTATGTAGGTATCAGTTGCAGAGACAGTGACAGTGACCTGCAGTCCATTTTTTAAAGATGGTTAGTAGGACAAGTGCTACAGGATAAGCTACTTAAAATAAAGTGTGATAGATTATCACTATTCTTCGTGACCTCCATATACAGAGTTCCCAGGACTCATGGCAGCTAGTAAGACCTTGTCTCATAAGTAAATTCATACCTACATAAATGTACATACAGACTATATAAACATACATAGTGGTGTGACTGGGCTGCAGATGTAGCTCAGTGCCCAGCATACATGAGGGGTTTGATTTTCCACACACCAAAAAAGTATGGTTTACATATTTAGGAAGTTCACTAAGAATGATAACATGTAACAGAGAGGTCCAGTTTTATCTATAGACTCACAAAACAGACTTCTGTGCTTAATGCTGAATGAATGAAACAGACAGGCCAACATCTGAATTGGTATTGTATATTTATCTGGTTGGTAAAGTCAGTGGTCTTCATGGTCTTTTTTAGATCTTTGAGCTATTCTATAATGAATTCCTTTTCCCTTACAGCTGTCCCAGAAAATTCTTGACAAATTAGAAGACTACCAGCAGAAGGTTGATAAAGCAACACGGGATCTGTTGTACCGCCGGAACTTGTGATCTGGATGGATACCCAGCCTGTGTAACCTCTTGGTGCCTCTTGGGGTTTAAGACTACTCTTCAGAAACCCTGTACTCAAGGCTAACTTTTATGACTGTAAATGATACATATGACACTCAAGTCCACATTCTGCACAAGGTACCACCACAGAGTCGGCCCCTGTGCTTGCTGGTGGTGCTCATATGACTGCTGGTGTTCAAACTTGGTTTTCAGCAGCTGCTTTTGTATATGATTCACAAGCGTTTTCAGAGTTTCTATTTTTTTAAACTACCGAAGACATCCTTTATCTGCAAATGAAAGCTCATCTTCACTTTTCCAAAATAGCCAATGGTCGTTGGCTTGTAGCTGACCACCAAAAGCTGTCCCTGCACATCTCACAAGTCTTCTCTCATCTTTTTGTATTTCAGTGGAATTATTTTGGTCCAGAACTGACATATTTTCTGTATTGCAAACAGAGGCTAATGGTTTTACATACTCTTCATTATTTATTGTGGAGTTTTTCATATAACCTTCAATAAAGTATTAAGTAATTTGCCTAGATTAAGCCTAACATTATGACCAGTTTTAAAAAAAAAAAAAAAAAATCTATATTTTGAGTCTGGCTCTGAAGCTAAAGTTGAATAAACTTTAGGAAAAAAACTAGGACGTTCATCTTTAAAAGCAACAGATTTTCATTTTTCAAAGTAAATTTTATTTATGTGATCTATAATAATCAAGCCGGACTTGATCATACAGTTAGTCTAATAATGTATTGGACCAAAATAGAACTTTACTGGTCAGATTCAGAAGCATTCATGGTTACAAACTTAGGGAAAAGTAAAAAATAAAACCTCCTTGGATTTTATTCTGTATATTAAAATCTACCTTTCAAGGACACAATCTCTGCATTGCTTGTTTGAATGAATGCCCTTTGACTTGCGCTTTTCACGATCCTTAAATTTTATACTGTCACTGACCTGTATGCACATATCTGTAATCTAATCATGGTCTGAAAAACATCAAACCCTGTTGCAGCCATCTCTGAAGAGCAGCAAGTCAGAAAAGACTGGTGCTGCTTCCCAGTCCTGTCTGCTTGGGCTGCCGATCAAGCAGTGCCTCCCGCTGCAGCAGGTCACAAGGCACTGACCAGCCTTTCCTGTGCTGATGGTTTGGGTTCAAGATCTAACCCGCCCACTGCCCTGGAGCCAGACCAGCTCTTCCATTTTCTTCTACCTGACTCTGATTCCAATCTGAGCAGAATGGACCTCTGTCCTTCACTTCAGTGTTCATCTTCATTCTACTTTGGGTCCGTGTTAGAATTTACTGGACCCTGTGGTGTTTTAAGATTTTTTTTTTTTTATGTGTATGTATGTATTGCCTGCCTGTAGGTAAGTGTACCTATGTCGTGCAATGCCCGCGGAGGACAGAAGAGGCTGTCAGATCCCCTGGAATTGGAGTTATAGACAGTTGTTAGCTGCCATGTGGGTGCTGGGATTCAAACCCAGGTCTTCTACAAGAACAACCAGTGTTCTTAACCACTGAACCATCTCTCCAGCCCCATATTTTAATAGTGCATATTAATATGATCATTTATTGTTTTTTCCTGCTCTGGTCAACTCCAAAGTTTCCCCTGGAATGTGGCATGGTGGCATGGACACTCAGAAGACAGAGGCAGAGGCATTCAGATCTCTGTGAGATAAAGGCTAGCCTGGTCTACATAGCAAGTTCCAGGCCACATAGGGCTATAGGGAGGTTCTGTCTCAAAAACAAATGGTTCCCTTGGGTGGCTAGAGAGATGGCTCAGAAGTTAAAGAGTTCTTGCAGAGGACCTGAGTTCAGTTCTTAGCACCCACATCCTTATGGCTCAACCACCTGTAATTCCAGCTCCAGGGGATCTGACAGCCTTGTAGCCTCCTCTGGCATCTGTGCTAACATGCATATACCCATACACATTATTCTAGTTTGTTTCTCCATTGCTGTAACAAAACACTCTGACCACTACCACCTTGGGGAGGAAAGGGTTTAAAAAGTCTTATATTTCCCAGGTCACAGTTCATCAGGGAGCTCAAGGTAGGAACTCAGGGTAAGAACCTGGAGGCAGGAGGAGCTGGAGCACAGGCCATGGAGGAACACTGTTTACTGGCCTCTGCACACACACCCCAACCTGCTTTTTTTTTTTTTTTTTTTAAATGTGTATGTGTGTATTGCCTACGTGTAGGTAAGTACACCCGTGTTGTGCAATGCCCGCAGAGGACAGAAGAGGCTGTCGGATCTCCTGGAACTGGAGTTACGGACAGTTGTTAGCTGCCATGTGGTGGGTGCTGGGATTCGAACCTGGGTCTTCTGCAAGAACAGCCAGTGTTCTTAACCACTGAGCCATCTCTCCATCTCCAACCTGCTTTCTTATACAACGTAGGTCCATTTGCCCAGAGGTGGCACCACCCACAGTGGGCTGGGCCCTCCCATATCACTCAGTAATCAAGAAGATGCCCCACAGACATAGCCACAGGACAGTCCAAAGGACGCAATTTCCCAATTGAGGCTCCCTTAACCCAGGTGTGTGAAGTTGACACTAAAGCTATCCAGCACACACATGTACATGTAATTAAAGATTTAAGGGGCTGGAGAGATGGCTGAGTGGTTAAGAGCACTGGCTGCTCTTGCAGAGGACCAACCTAGGTTTGAGTCCAGCACCCACATGGTGGTTAACAACTGTCAACGCCAGTTCCAGGGATCTGATGCCCTCTTCTGACCTCCATGGGCATTGCATGGCAGGGATGAACAAGTTTCCCTTGGGCTAGGTTTGTAGCTCAGTGATTGGACTTGTTCTTACCATACCCTAGGGCCCTATATTCAATACCCAGTACCAGTAGTTAAATAGCAAAATGTAACTGAGAGGTAGTGCCTTACCAGGCTGTGACAGTAAGAGTGGGTGTTCTGTTCATTGATGGGGCTGGGTGTCAAGCTCTGTGTTTGATCCTCAACACCACAATGGGGAAGAAATTATCACTGAGTTTGATGCTGTTAAT